TCCATTTTACTTTAAAATTTAAGGCAATGTTGCTTACAGAGTGAGGGAAAATGGGAAATAAACAGTTAATCCCTTTGCATGAAGACTGCAGATATGTTTACAGCAGTGTTTACAACCACATCATGGTTTCTAAGTGACTGTCTGTCTTTCCTGTCTGTAGCGTATCAGCTCATCACCGTGGTGATCGCGGCTGCAGGAGGGGGACTTCTGCTTATCATGGGCATAGCGCTGATTGTCACCTGCTGCCGGTAGGTACCACCGCTGGTCCCAGCTCGCGTGGCATCCTCCCGGTGGGTTACACCACACTTAGTGCTCCACACGTGAATGCTGAAGGAGCAAAGCATAGGTGAACACGCAGGACAGCTAAGCAAGTGGGGTAATCAGAGATACCAAAGTATTGCATTATGCTTTTTTTCGGGGCATGTATTTTTTATTTCCAGCCACCAGGCTAAAAATATTCAACTCACTGTCTCTTAGGGGTGCACCTGGCAATCGTGTCCTCTAAGGATGGAGAGGCAAAGGAGTTCTTTCCACTCAGAGCTGTAAGGCAGCCAGGGAGCAATCTCCAAAAATGCAAGCTAAGTAGAAAGGAGAAGTTTAGGCAACAGGAGGCGCTACTGGCCCTTGCTCAAGTGGTGTTTGAGTGTATTTAAGGCTATTTTCATTTTCCTTTATGGACAAGCCCTGCATGTGCTCTCACTCTGTGTGTCTCTCCCTCTCAGACACACACACGCATGTACACATGTAGTTCCCATACCAGCAGGTAGGTTTGGACTAGAAGCAAGATGTGTTTGCCGAGGAAGCTCTGCTTCATGATTTCTACGTTATGAAAAGGGCTGCCTTGCAGTAACACCCTGTCCCTCCCATTCAAGTCCCCAGATCTAGGATTTCAAAGCTCTCTGATTTAAAGTAATTTGCTGGATTTATCAGTAATGTAGACAAGGCAGTGGTTTCGTTGGTGCAGTGTGTGCACTTCTTCCCACGTATTTTGGGCCAAGGGGACGCCAGCAAGCCCCAGCCGGGAGGTGCGATGGTCAGTACACCTCCAGGCCCTAGAACGCAGATCTCCGTAAGGGTGGACTGCTCTTCTCATGAGTCCTGGCCTTTGGCAGGTTATGTGACTTCCTGGAGGGTACTCTGCTTTGAACGGGAAGTGTCGCTGCAGTCCACTCATACAACGTGGTACTCATGTAGGGGCATATGGTGTCAGTCAGACTGGCAGTTCGCAGGCCTTCCTTCTTAGGAATTAATGTAGTACCTAGAAGTGCTATAGTTAAGCACTTGGAGACTTGAATAGCATGGGGGCTCCCATATGTTTTTCTTTCTTCCTGGATTTCTGTGACTTCATTGACTCAGGTGAACATACACATTTTAAAGAGACAACGGACTAAGTTGGGACAGGTGTGGTTCAAACTGAAAGTAGGAAAAAACTCTTTGACCAAGAGGACAGTAAGGCAGTGGAACAGGTTGCTCAGAGAGGTTATGCCATCTCCATCCTTGGAGATTTCAAATCCCACCGGATAATGCTCTGAGTAGCATGATGTCCTAGTTTTGGCTGGGATAGAGTTAATTTTCTTCCTAATAGCTGGCATAGTGCTGTGCTTGGGATTTAGGATGAGAATAATGCTGATAACTCACTGATGGTTTAGTTGTTGCTGAGCAGGGCTTACACCAGTCAAGGACTTTCCAGCTTCCCCTGCTCTGCCAGGG